AATATAAATCTTTCTTCTTTTCTTATACATTCTCTACTTTTATATTTTCTTTTCATAAGAATGACTGTAGTGTTAAAAGAGCAAAAGACCTTGTGAGAGTTTTGTTGTAATCAGTGTTCTGCTTAATATGTTGTATCCAAAAGTATGAAACTCTCGCGTAATTATTTTCTAAAGGACTTAAAGGTTTCTAGATAAACTTGTGTAAAAATTTGATTGTAGAATCTTAATCTTGACATGTGTAAAATCTCTGTTTGTAGGTTTTTGAGTTTTTCCTGTGTAAAAGATCTGTTGGAATGTTCCCGAGTTAAGCCGTGTAAAATTTATGTTGGTTGATTCTCGATCCTAGATAGTGTAAAAGCTATATTTGTTTGTTGTTGAAGGTTCGCGCAGAAGTCCTTTTCTATGTATTAGACAAAAATTCATACAACTCAACATCAACTTAACATAGGTTATTGAATTATTCATGTTATTATATGAGAAATTTCTTTTTTGATTTGCATAGGCGTATTTCAGAATAATAATTTAATTGAAATACCATTTGAGCTTGGTAGGTTCCATGTATTTTAGATAATTTCTCCATATAAGGTATCAATAATGTATACTTCATTTCTACTATGAAGTTTGCTAAATATTGGGCCTTCAACGCTTTCCTAGTTTTGAAAGAGACGTCAAACTCGTACATATCGATATAACATTTGGTCACCTGTCATTCTAGATATAGTTGTTCATAGCTAGATCGATGCAAACAATCGTAGCATTTTCCAGGAAATAATGTCGCAACTTCCTAGATGCAGTAACTAATGCTAACACTGCTTTCTCTATCTTTTGATAACGTGTTTCAGGTTTGTCTAGCACCTTAGATATGAAGTACACTGGGTTCTAACTAGAATCCATGTCTCGGATGAGGATGATACTATCCACTATGGTAGAGGTAAGCAAGTAAAGGAATATAACTTCTTCGACAACCAGTCTGGATAACACCACTAAGGTTGATAAGACTATTTTGAGGGATAAGATTGTCTGTTTGCATTTTGAAGTTCATTCGAAGTGTGCTTTTTTCTTCAGCAACTTGTAAAATGGTAATGCATGTTGTGCAGGCCTCAAGATGAGTCTGTTAAAGGCAATGAGCATCCCATTTAATTTCATTACTTGTTTCTTTATTGTCATTACTCCCATCTTAATGGCTGCTTCGCATTTATCGGGGTTTTTTTCTTTACATATATCGGTTAAGTAGAAACCTAAGAAATTTTTGGCTCTGACTTTGAGTGTTTGTTTTTCTAAATTGAGCCTCATATTGCATTGTTGGACCCTTCAGGACACGTTCCACATATGTTTTTAGTGTAGTTCTTCTTCGCTGGACTTGACGAGCATATCGTCCATGTAAAGTTCTATCATTCACCTATATAATCTTTGAATATTTTGGTCATCATGCTCTAGTATGTTGCTCCTGCACTCATCATACCAAAGGACACGACGTTATATCGATAGGTAGCTTGTTCAGTCATGAAGGCTTTCTTGTCGCTATCTGCCTAGAACATAGGTACATGGTTATAGCTAGAATATGCGTCCATAAATGAAGTATACAACAATTTGTGGAAAGCACGAGTCCATAGATTCCTCTAAGAACTTTGATTTGATATTTCAATATCTCTTTTGATGAATTTTTGTGGGAAATATTTTCCTTGGAAGATGTCTCACCAAATTAGAAATGGATTTTAAGATCGTCTCTAATATTAAGTTGTACAAAGAGATGCAGAAGATTTAAGTTTGAATTCATTTTTTAAGGGGGGAGAAAATCTCTTTTCAAAAGTATCTTGTGATTTATGGTAAATCAATTGGTAGAAGAATATACTCGAAAAACTTTGGTTATTCCTCTAACAAGTGGATTTATGTGTCTACATGTACAACCATTAGTTGGTTTTTATGAGGAATACTGACAAAGAAACCTTAAATATAACAACTTCATAATCAAATGGATTTTAGAAGTTTAAAGTTCTTTATGATACGGGGAATTGATTTCAATTGTCAAGTAAAGCTTATGATGATGGCACCTAATCAAGAAGATATATCAAGCTTCAACATTCAAACAATTAAATAATCCAATTGAAGTGTTAATCAAGTTGATGAATCAAGTAGAAGATCTTAAAGTATGAAAGATAGAAAGTGTAAAATTCTACATGGTCATGTATTAAGTGTCTTAAAGTGATCTATTAAAATGTGAAAGGTCAATAGTAAGTCTTGAAGTATTGAGGCAATCACACAAGCATGTGTGCAAGCGCACACACGACACACAGACACACCTCAAAGTTTTCCAAACCCTCTCTTGTTTCATAAAAGTTCTTGAAAGCCTATTAAAGTTTGTATGGAATTGACTAAGAAGTATTTATAATCAATTAGGGAAGTTTTTACAATGCCTAGTTGATTAAGGACTGGTTCAATATATTAAAGCATGGAAAATGACCTTTTAATTAGTTAGAAAAACTTTTTAATCGATTAAATCTTGTAGTTTTTCATATTTCATTTATTTAATTAGGAATTTCATATTAGGAAAGATTTAATAAATTACCAGCTAAGGTAAATCAATAAATTTACCAATGGATCATTTCTTATTATGAGCAAAAGTTTTCCTTTATAAAAAAGGTTTATTCTCATTTCATTTTGCACCGAATTTCTTAATATAAATCTTTCTTCTTTTCTTATACATTCTCTACTTTTATATTTTCTTTTCATAAGAATTATTGCAGTGTTAAAAGACTAAAAAACCTTGTGAGGGCTTTGTTGCAATCAGTGTTCTGCTTAAAATGTTGTATCCAAAAATATGAAACTCTCGCGTAATTATTTTCTAAAGGACTTAAAGGTTTCTAGCTAAACTTGTGTAAAAATTTGATTGTAGACTCTTAATCTTGACATGTGTAAAAGCTCTGTTTGTAGGTTTTTGAGTTTGCCCTGTGTAAAAGCTCTGTTGGAAGGTTCCCGAGTTAAGCCCGTGTCAAATTTATGTCTATTGGTTCTCGAGCTTAGAGAGTGTAAAAGCTATATTTGTTTGTTGTTGAAGGTTCGCGCAGAAGTCCTTTTCCATGTATTAGGACAAAATTCATACAACTTAATATCAACTTAACATAGGTTATTGAATTATTCATGTTATTATATGAGAAAGTTCTTTTTTGATTTGCATAAGTGTAATTCAGAATAATACTGTAGTTGAAATACCATTTGAGCTTGGTAGGTTCCATGTATTTTAGATAAGTTCTCCATATGAGGTATCAATAATGTATACTTCATTTCTACTATGAAGTTTGCTAAATATTAGGCCTTCAACGCTTTCTTAGTTTTGAAAGAGACGTCAAACTCGTACATATCGATATAACATTTGGTCATCTGTCATGCTAGATATAGTTGTTCATAGCTAGATCAATGCAAACAATCGTAGCATTTTCCAGGAAATAATGTCGCAACTTCCTAGATGCAGTAACTAATGCTAACACTGCTTTCTCTATCTTTTGATAACGTGTTTCACGTTTGTCTAGCACCTTAGATATGAAGTACACTGGGTTCTAACTAGAATCCATTTCTCAGATGAGGAGGATACTATCTGCTATAAGCAAGTAAAGGAACATAACTTCTTTGACAACCAGTCTGGATAACACCACTAAGGTTGATAAGACTATTTTGAGGGATAAGATTGTCTGTTTGCATTTTGAAGTTCATTCGAAGTGTGCTTTTTTCTTCAGCAACTTGTAAAATGGTAATGCATGTTGTGCAGGCCTCAAGATGAGTCTGTTAAAGGCAATGAGCATCCCATTTAATTTCATTACTTGTTTCTTTATTGTCATTACTCCCATCTTAATGGCTGCTTCGCATTTATCGGGGTTTTTTTCTTTACATATATCGGTTAAGTAGAAACCTAAGAAATTTTTGGCTCTGACTTTGAGGGTTTGTTTTTCCAAATTGAGCCTCATATTGCATTGTCGAACTCTTTAGGACACGTTCCACATATGTTTTTAGAGTAGTTCTTCGCTGGACTTGACGAGCATATCATCCATGTAAACTTCTAGCATTCACATATATAGTCTTTGAATATTTTGTTCATCATCCTCTAGTATGTTGCTCCCGCATTCATCAGACCAAAGGACACGACGTTATATCGATAGGTAGCTTGTTCAATCATGAAGGCTTTCTAGTCGCTATCTGCCTAGAACATAGGTACATGGTTATAGCTAGAATACACATCCATGAATGACAATAATTTGTAATCTAGTGTTGTCCACTTGATTACAAATTGTTGTCATTTATGGATGCGTGTTCTAGCTATAACCATGTACCTATACGTATTCCAGCTATAACTGAATCGATCTTGCCGTATTATGATTGAGTTCTAGAAGCCCAAAGTTATCGTCTCGAACCGTCCTCAAGGCTTTCGCTTTAACCCCTAACAGAGAGCCGAGCTCGTCATCTCGTTGAGTTTCATCTTTTCGTATGTTAAGGTGGATTATACTAAAATTATATGAATTTCTACATTTCACAATAAATTGATATGATTATTTATCTTTTTCAAATAGAATGATAAGAAATCTCCTTAAAAATAATAGAGTCACCATAAAAGATAGACAAACATGACACCAACTGAAAAGTAAAAATAAATAAATAAATAAATAAATAAATAAATAAAAACATATGCCAACAATTTGACAAGCCTAAAACTATTGGTAAGTTCTCATATTCAAAACAAGCACTCTTATGTAAACTTTTAAATGTTAATCTCGCCATATTGCAACAAAAACCAAAATAGTATTTCTTCAAATAGTGGTGACGATTGGTTGAACCTAAACGAATACTTCATTGCATTTATCAAAAGAGACAATTAAAATGCAAAGTGATATCATCTACCATAAAAGCTCAAACCAAAAGGTAAAAGTTGTTCATGAAAAGTTTCCACCAAAAGAACTAATAGCCAAAAAGAAAGAAACAATAATTCTAAAAGAAGCAGCCTTCTCTACCAACTATGGATGAAAAGCCTTTGCCAAACCATAAGCAGCAGCAGAGGCAACGGCGCCGATAAGAGTAGTTTCCAAAGCACTTCTGATAGGTTTGTTGCCGGTGAAGCATCCTTTGACAAAGCCAAAGACAAACAAAGCAATCAAAGTAACAATTACTGAAACCAGAACAGCTTCTGTTGCCTTTGGAATGAACATGTAAGGACTGAGAGGAACAAGTCCACCCAATACATAAGCAATGGCAATGGTCATTGCACTATACAATGCTCTCCTTGGATCTGGCTTCTCTAATCCCAGCTCAAATCTGCCATTACATCATGTAACCAATTTGTTAATTAATTTGTTCAAACACTCATAAAATCATATTCTATTCTATTAATAGCAATTATACATAGTCCATATTTTGAAGGATGATTGTACAAACAATAAAAAGGTGGATTCATATATAATACTTTTCATCACTATTATAAATTAATTATAAATTATGAATGGTCAGATATAATAGTTATTCAATACATCTAAAAAATAAATCGTTACTTATAATACTGACTAGAGAATATGTAAATTTGAATATACGATTAAAATACTTTGCTAATAAGTGAGCATGTTTAAAACAAATTCATCATCATTAACAAACATTCTCTACTTCTAATATGATTTTTAAGCTAAACTAAATTAATCTTTTTAAGAATTTAAATGCAATTCACGTGTTATAATATTTTATTTTTGGAATCAAATACATGTCATATACATTGTATACATCGCCATATTTAGTTTTTGTAAACAAAAAAAAATCAGTATTCTTCCCAAATTATATAAAGCTTTGACTAATTCATCTTAAGTAAAGAATATAATTAATTTTCTATAAAAAATATAAAAAATTGTTTTTACCAATAATATTGAAAATGAAATAAAGAAGAGAGTAATACATAGAGAATGTATTATAGAATAAAACATTAATATTTTCTTGGAATTGTAAGATAGTTATTCCTCGTTAATACTATTAGAAATTAAATTTTGAATAATTAAAAAACAAGAATAATAAATAGAAAGTGCATGATATAAAGATAAACGACGAAATCAGATTTGGAGCTCAAAATTTTAGAATTCCGTTTCAAGTTACAGCATTAGGAATTTGTTTTAGTTTTGGGTCTGGGTTATATTTTCGACCCAGTTGGGTTATGACCCGAATTATGGTTTTTATCCTCTTTAGTCTAGGTTTGCCCGTACAGCCAAAACATCATATACACTATTCACGAAAGTTTTTGGTTGGAGCTTTGTATGAATTATGGAGAACTAATTCCTTCGGATTAATTTGCTGTAATCGGTTCCCGCCAACACTTTGAGGTTCTTTTAATTTCCAATAAAATCTATTTCCTTTCAATTCTTCTCTATGATATTTTGTTTGCTTAATTCGATTTATCTTAGGGATGATTGATTTATTTCGATGATTGCATGTTCTTATACTTTAATTGCGGTTGCTTAATTCGCGTATGTTTCTCGTGTTTGCTTAATTCACGATTACTATTTTATCTGTTTGCTTAATTCAGAAATTAGGAACGTGTATCGTATAATACCAATTGCGCTTGTTGATTGTTATTATAATCGGAAAGAGGATAGAATTTGATCAGTGCATATTTATGCACATTCTCCTATATTTTTACTTAGGAATTTCTTTACTTTATTTTGATTATTTTTATGTTCTATTATGTTTTTACATTTTATTTTGTTTTTGGTTTAATTTAATTATCGCAACTATTTTTCAGCTTTAGTAGTCTGCACGAAAACCATCATAACTGGAGTGTCGAGAATCCGTTTGAGGCGTTCTAAAAATCGCCGAAAAGCTAAGAGAGAGAGCTACGACTTTCGCGTTGGAGACGAAATCAGATTCGGAGCTCAAAATTCCAGAATTCCGTTTCAAGTTGCAGCATTAGAATTTTATTTTAGTTTTGGGCCTGGGTTATATTTTCGACCCAGCTGGATTATGACCCAAATTCTCTTTTGTCCCTTCTTTAGTCTAGGTCTGGCCGTATAGCCTAGTATCATATTCACTATTCACGAAAATATTTGTTGGAGCTTTGTATGAATTATGGAGAACTAATTCCTTCGGATTAATTTGCTGTAATCGGTTCCCCCGACACTTTGAGGTTCTTTTAATTTCCAATAAAATCTATTTCCTTTCCATTCTTCTCTATGATATTTTGTTTGCTTAATTCGATTTATCATGATTGATTTATTTCGATGATTGCATGTTCTTATACTTTAATTGCGGTTGCTTAATCCGCGTATGTTTCTCGTGTTTGCTTAATTCACGGTTACTATTTTATCTGTTTGCTTAATTCAGAAATTAGGAACGTGTATCGTATAATACCAATTGCGCTTGTTGATTGTTATTATAATCGGAAAGGGGATAGAATCCGCTTAGGAATTGAGAATTATTAGGATCGATGATAAGTTGGGAAACGAAAACAGTAGATTAGCCGTTTCAACTCATTACTACAATCACTTTTTCTAATCACTTATTTTTCGTTTATTTTATCTTAATCAAAACCCCCCATATTTCGTTAATGTATTTGATTATTCCTACAAGAATCCTTGTGAGACGATATTCCGAGTCACTGTCGCTATACTGCATTTTCTTACAAAAACACTTGTTTTTGATCTGGCGAGCGACCGCGGATCAGAGTAATACATAGAGAATGTATTATAGAATAAACATTAATATTTTCTTGGAATTGTAAAATAGTTATTCCTCGTTAATACTATTAGAAATTAAATTTTAAATAATTAAAAAACAAGAATAGTAAATAAAAAGTGCATGATATAAAGATAAACGTTGAGGATGTCACATTCCCTTATAATTATTTTAATTCTTCAAAACAGTTTTATTTAACATTAAAAGACAAAAAGAGAGTCCAAAAATACTTGTGTAAGTGGGTTGCACATGACCAAAAATGTGACTCAAAAAGTTAAACCCTATTAACCATATAAAGTGCCTTTCTCTTTCCAACCCGTGGTGTGGTGCCACCGTTCAACCAATTCCAATTCAACTTTTATTCTACTTAGCATAAATATTCACGAGTCACGACGCATCGTAAACTCCAAATTTTTCAAACTTTTCCAAAAAACTCGTAAAGAAAATCAGAACAAAAAAAACAGTTTGGAGAATGAAACTTACTTCATCATGAAATCAAGCCATGCTTGAGGATTCTTTCTGAGAGCATTCACAACAGGTCCATATTCATGTTCCTCTATCCCATATTCAGCTAATATTTCTCCCACCTCAGCAGCTTCTGAATTTTATTCACAATAAAATACGTATTCAAATATTATTTGAAAGATAAATAATATTAATTAATTAAATAAATAAATATATTTTTATTCAATAAATCTAACTGTTTCGGAATGAGATGAGAGAAAGATGCAGTGCGAACCAGTTTCTGGTACGGCGATGATTTCTTCTTGTTCCCTTTTCAATTCTCTATTGTAATGATCAGCTTCACCTTTTGCCGCCAAATAACTGCAAATAAACACAAATTCAATCACAATTTTGTTACAATTCATAATAATTGAAATTTTCAGAGTAAAATTGAGTGTTGTGATGATACGTACCCTCCGAGACCCATGGAGATTGCACCGGCGGCGACTTCGGCGATACCGGCAGTAAGGACAATGGAAGAAGTAGCATTGGCGCCAGAGAGACCCGCGGCCAGGGCGAATGGAACAGTGAGACCATCGGAGACACCGATGATGATATCACGAACGATCTCTCCGGCGGTGAAGTGCTTCTCGGTGTGGCGATTGAGAAGGCTCTGTTTCTCAGGTTCAAGGCTTAGTCTGTGTTCGTTGCCACTGCCAGCCATTTGAAAGTGTGTGAATTAGTATTACAAAAGTGATTTAAAAATGAAATCCAAACAGAGCCTAATGAGTAAAAGTAGTGTTGTTATGCGTATAAATATGTTATATACAGTGGCTCGTGTCTACCACACGCCAAATCACATTAATTATGAAAAAGTTTTTTTTTTTTTATTACTAAATTGGTTGCAAATAAATTTAGCTTATTTAATAAACTTGGTTTATAAGGAAACTTAGCTACAAGGTTAAGTGAATTAGAACAAATAAAAAATAATTAGTTTTTTATAATTTTTTTCATAAAGTTCTAACAAAATCAAACCAATGAAAAAAGAGTTAATATTGATTATCCGATTAAATTTATTAAATCCAATTAAGAATATAAAAGAATCAATTTTTTTTTACTAAATATCATATATTTGGTATATTATTAAAATAAATATATAAGCTACAATAAAAAAATATAATGACTAAGAATACTACCTCCTTTTTTTTATAAAATATATATTAATAAAATGTTAATATTGCATTTAAAAAGTTAATTATAATATTTTTTTACATAAATTTAGCCTTATTAATGGTATAAACAATAAATTAAAATAATAAAAGAGAATAAAATAATAAATACTTAAATATAAAACATGAAAAATACCATTAATAAGTTAATGATATTATAAAATGATTTAAAATTTAATATAAATTTCTAAAATGAAAATAAATTTAGAAAAGTAGAAGGAGAACATTAGCATAAATTTTTTGAAAGATTAATAAATAAAAGAAACAATAAAGATTAGATGGTTTTGTTTTCTTATATTAATATGAATATAGAGAAAATAATGCAATTTAATTTATTTATTTGGATTGTGGTATGTATCAAGTCATTAGTTTAGTTTTTTTAGAAAATGAGCTTCATCTTCATCTCTTGGGTATCTCTGTTTTGTCTAAATTAAAAGTGCGGAACATGCTAAGGATTTAGGTGTCCATCACGTCCACTTCGTTTTTTACAGGGTTTTGCAAAAAAAAAAACATTAAAATAAATTTTATACTTTTAGCTTTAAAATGTGGATCGTTCGTGGACCCACACTTCCGTCCTAATTTAATATTTTACAAGTTAGATGGATTTAAATGAGACGGACATACCCGTTTGTCATCCCTCATTATCACAACTTTAAAATTATATTACTTTCAATGTTTAATTTATTTTTAATTAAAAATTTGAGATTTTTTTTCTTCTGTTTAAGAATCTTACCTTTTTTTTTTAATCTCACTTTGCAAAAATTTATTAACAAAATGAAATTTTAAAATTTTTTATTTTGAAAACAAAAATGCTCTAGCGACTTTAACATTGTTTATATTTAATTGTTCTCCTTTAATCCTCCATGACAACCACCACACTCTCACCCCCATTTACTTTTAACATACCATGGTCTTATCTCCAAACTACAACACAAATGATGAAGCTACAAATCCTAATTCTATCACCTCTGATATGCCTTGGGATTGCATAAGGGATTTCAACACTATTTTGGGCACTCACAGCTATATTTCGATTCATTCTCTTTTTCCAAGCTAGACTCCTTATGGTGGAGTTTGTAACTTTTACGGTGAGAATCGTGATACTAAACTATTGATTAACTTGAATCTTAATTCATTAAATTCACAATCAGATTTTGATTTATCCAAAGGAAAGGTTAAAGAAAGAAAGACCTTTTGCGCGATGTAACAACAACGCTAAGAGATCGGGGATCGGGGGTTGGTTATGCTTAGGGTATGTATTTCACATCCTAAACATCTGTAGTATCCTACAAAAACCTTTTGTATGTTTATATGCTAAGCTTGCTAAAAGTTTGTTATGGCTTGGGATAAGGTATAAGGTTAGGTAAAGGCCTAAGGATAGCTTATAAGTTTGCTCGCAAAGATATCGCATCCTCTGCCTACGTATCCAAACTAGGATAGAATCAAAGCAACCGTAGTTCACCTCACTAGGGATAGATGAACACTTGATTATCATCAAAGTTCAAAGGGGAACAAATATAACAATGCTTGTATAGAGTTTAACAAAACTCTGTAATCTAAATTGTACACTCAAAGGATATTGACTTTTATAAAAAGCCAGAAAGGGGGGTATGTAATCATGACCATGATTCTTACATAGAGTTAACAAACTCTATCTTAAAGTTCTAATTGAAAAGACACTCCGAACAAGGGGTAGGTCTTTTAGACTTAAAGCAAAGTCTAGTGGATGGGTTCTAACTTAACTAAGTTATGTTTCAAGGTGACTTAACAAAGTCAAAGAGGGAGAGTAAAGAGCTATCTATGACCCGGGGGTCAATAGAGATACTTTCCTTTGGAATGGGAAAAGATGAGGCAACTGGATGAGAACTAACAAGTTCCATCACTTGGGGAATAACTTAACAAAGTTAAAAAAACACATAAGCATTCATTCAAACATGATAAAGATATAGAAAACCATGTAACAACTAAGAAAGAAATGCAAGCATGTGACAACATCAAGCAAAGATTACAATCAAGCCAAATGGTTACAACCAAGGATATTACAATATCCATAAGAAAATGATATGGGTTCTTACAAGACCAATCATATAAGGCGAGATTAACTTTAAACATCTTAACAAAGATGAAGAGTAATGAGGTCAAGACAAACAGAATAACATGTGATTCAAACAAGTTTAATGCAAGCAAGTTACAACTTGAGGCAAACATGTAGAGGGATCAAGAGATGTCAAATGTAACAACATAAAACCAACAATCATGCATTGATGACAATCAAGTACAAGTAAGCATACAAGAAGTGTTACAACAAATCAAGTAAGAAGTTCAAGGTTTCATGGGGAAACACATACGCAAGCCCTAGCATGTTATGGTTCTAACCAGACACATAAACAATTAGAGAAGACAAGATGAACATACTCAAGAGGTTACAACATCAAAAGGTATAATATAGTTCACAAACAAAGTTCACAATGTTGTTTTCAATCAGATGCATTCACAAAAGTAAGGATTGATCATGGTAAGACTTTGAATCAAGCAAATTTTAATCAATCAATTGACAAACATATGTGGATCAAACACAACCAATCTTACAAGATAAATCAAATGGTAGTTGAGAAAAGTTTCAAAATCATCAAGGTAAAAACCCTAAGAAAACTCATGATTTCCAAGTGAGTTAAAGTATTTCTAGGATAGTCATCCTTGAATTCTTCACTTACTATTTGAAAATAGACATGATGAAGAACACTTTGCAAAAATAATGGGGCAACAATGTTGAAAAATGAGTAAGTTATGATGATTTTAAACTTATGAAGAAACCATGAAAAATAAGTGATAAAAAAAAAGATGTCTTCCACAAGGGTTGAACCCACGCCCTATGGTCCACAGGCTCAAAAAATTACCAAACCATCCAAGGAAAGTGTGTGATATTTCAAGGAGAAATAAAAAATATATGTTAAAACATAAGAAAATCACAAAAATGCCAAAAGAGTTGTCCTCGGCCAGGATCGAACTCATGCAAGCAAGGTAAAGGATACATAAGGCGTGCAAGTAATAACCACTGGGGTGGTGATACATCCAATGTATCAAACCACCCTAGAAATACATAAACCTCACAATCAATGATTTCTGGGCAAAAACAAGTTAAACCAAACAAGAAAGTACCAAAAACGTGAACCTCTTAAACTTGATCAAAACTCCATGGAATTTAACAAAATTTAGGTCTAAACTGCTTGACATTGAAAGAGGAAATCAATGGCACTCTTAGTTTTCTCTAAAGATTCTTACATTTTGAAATTCGAATGCAAATGAAGATTTGGTGTCAAGGTGCGTTTTCAAAACTAGAGTTCAATTCAGTCATGTTATAAACAGTTTGAAAGCTCGCACACATCTTAAACACATCATATATGAAGTTCATGATCATTAGGAACTCAAAATCAAGCTGAAACACAAAACGACCTATTAAAATGAGGTTATGGCATAATGAAGATCTCATGAAAGTTTGTGAACAGAAACAATTCATCATTCAAATATGACTCAATCAACACAAATGGCATAGAAATGAACTCTTGATCAATCCAACAAATTGTCTAAATAGAAATCAACAACTTTGCACATTTGAAATACTAAGAAATATAAAGGTATCAAAACAACATCAAACACATACCCCCTAATTATATATAGATCATACATGTGCATCATGACCTATAACTGAATTCCAAACACAAGCACTACCTCAAACTTAAACAGAAACAAAATATGGTTCATAAAATGGAAAAAAACAACAACAAAAAAGTCAAGCATCTAAACCTTATGACAGTTGTAAACTTGTGAGAACAAACACAATCAAAGTTCAAACATGACTTGTGGGGGATTCTAGGCATATATAAACTAATGTTCATCAAGTATAACCATGGTGCATAATGAATACATTTAATAGAGGTGACTTACCTCTTGAAGACTTACAAATAAATCCTTGATTCCAAGCTGCCTATTTGAGTGAGAATGAGTTGAATGGCTTCTTCACACCTCTAGTGCGAAGTCCAAGTAGCTCCAACTCCTTCCAAGCAAGTCTTTGTGCAAAAAAAATTTCTTACACTTGAAGTAACAAATGAATTTGTATGACAGATCCACAAAATGGTGAGACAGTTGGTCTTTGATGGTTTAGACAGTGAACACACTTTATATCTAAGGTTTTTGAGGTATTATAGAGGTTAGAACAGGTCTGAGCAGAGAATGGTGCTAAATTATGCAGAAAGTCAAACCTATTAGGTTTGAAGGTTGACTTTTTGAAATACAAAGCTTATGGTTGGTGTAATGGTTGGAACAAATTTAAAACATCATTTATGGTTTTTATGGAGTGTTGGTGGAAGGTTTTAAAGGTTAGAAATGGATTTGGTGTGAAATCTGTTCAAGACAGATTTTGGTACTTCTTTGAGATGATTTGCTTAGATTGCAAGAAAGAACAAGGCAAGAATGAGGAGCTTGTTTCTTCTTGAAT